CTCAAGGGTACTTACAGGAAGAGGGGGTTGACTATGATGAAACCTTCGCTCCTGTAGCTAGATTAGAGTCAATTAGACTATTGTGTGCTTTTGCTTGTTCCATGGGATTCCCTCTTTTTCAAATGGACGTTAAGAGCGCGTTTTTAAATGGAGTTATTCAAGAGGAAGTCTATGTTGAACAACCTCCAGGTTTTGTTGATTATAGATATCCAAATCATGTTTTTAAACTTAGAAAGGCTTTGTATGGTCTTAAACAAGCCCCTCGGGCTTGGTATGATAGACTTACTTCCTTTCTTCTTGAACAAGGATTCACGCAAGGTTCAGTTGATAAAACCTTGTTCATTAAGCATGAGGCTTCAGACATTCTGTTGATTCAAATTTATGTAGATGATATAGTGTTTGGCTCTACTTCCAGTAGATTATGTTCAGATTTCTGTGAGTCAATGAAGAAGGTGTTTGAAATGAGTATGATGGGAGAACTTCAGTTCTTCCTTGGCCTTCAAATCAAACAAACAGAAAATGGCACCTTCATAAATCAGTCAAAGTATATATCATCTATGCTAAATAAGTTTGATTTAAACTCTATTAATACTAGCCCTACTCCTATGGCAGTTAATGTAAAACTGGACAGGGATGAGACTGGGGTAAAAGTCGATGAATCCAAGTACAGAGGAATGATTGGTTCACTCCTCTACTTAACTGCGAGTAGGCCTGATATTCAATATAGTGTCTGTCTATGTGCTCGCTTCCAATCTAATCCTAAAGAGAGTCATATGACTGCTGTTAAACGAATATTCAGATATCTCAAAGGCACATCTGACCTAGGGATCTGGTATTCTAAACAGAATCAGTTTGAACTCATAGGGTACAGTGACTCAGATTTTGCAGGGAGTCTAACTGACAGAAGAAGTACTTCTGGCAGCTGTCAATTTGTTGGAATGTCTTTAGTTTCTTGGTCTTGTAGGAAGCAGGGAGCAGTAGCTCTTTCAACAGCAGAGGCAGAATACATTGCTGCCAGTAGCACATGTACTCAATTGCTGTGGCTCAAAAGCCAGCTTGCTGATTTTGGTATTACCTCTGGAACTATTCCCTTATACTGTGATAATACTAGTGCTATCTGCATTTCTAAAAATCCGGTGCAACATTCACGTACTAAACACATAGACATAAAATATCATTATATACGTGATCTGGTTAGTAGTGGCATTATAGATCTTCAGTACATTAACACTGAATTCCAATTAGCAGATCTCTTTACCAAACCCCTATCTTCTGATAGGTTTAATTTTCTCTGTTACGAGATCGGCTTGAGATCTCTTGCCTCTATTACCATGGTAAAAGGAACCTAGCTTCGGCTAAGTTTCCCCTCTGTTTGTTTGTAATTTCTTTGCATCTTTTCTTTCCTGTTTATGTTTTTCGTCTAGTGTCCTTGATTGATTTGGTATTTATGTTGGTTTGATAGTCTTTCCTTTTTGTGTCTCCAGTCCTAGTATTTATTCTTCTAGTTAGTCATTGTGTTTTGGTATACCCTTGTCTTTCCTCTTTCCTGTCAGCCATGGTGTACGCCTTTGCCTTGACCTTTTCTGGTCGTTTCTTTCATGATCCCATCCAGGCCAACTATCATCGCCATACTCAATCCTTTGCAAACCGGCCCATCAACCCTTCAACCGTTCTTAACCTTCCTGATTTTGTTCCCCTTGGGTTAGATGTAATGCCGTTTGTTGTGAACCTAGGATGGGAATTTTTGCTGGCACCTGAGGCTACCTCCACCCTGATCTGTCCTGAGGCTGTAAGATTTTTCTTTTCTAACCTTCGATATTTTGGCCTTCAATCCCGTACGTTGAGCTCTCTGGTTCATGGTCACATGATCACTCTCCCTCTCCATGATATGAGGCGTCTTCTTCGCATTCCTGCCTATGGAGAGGCTCTTGCTCACCCTGATGAACTTGCTCTATTCAACTTTGACATAGTTACAGAGGCTGTTCATCTCACTGGACATGAACCAGATCAGGATCTCACTTTTTCTTCAGCTCTGCTACCTCCTTCCCTGCAAGCTTTCCATTATATTCTTACCAGGGTTTTCCTTCCTCGTCATATTTTTCTTGATCGTGTCCTGCCTCTAGATTTATGGATACTATCCCATGCCACTGCTGCTGTCCCTCTGGATTTCTCTCACCTGTTGTTTGGCGCTCTTTTGCCCTTCATTGACCATAACTTTCATGCGCCACTTCCCTTTGCGGCTTTGATCACTCGCCTTATTCTTGCTCTGCCTATCGACCTTTCCTCCTATCGCACTGAATCCCCTGCTCTATGGCTCACTGCAAATGATGTCCTGGAAGAAATTGGGATTGCGATTGAGGGGGAGGGTCCCCTTGTACACTGGATCAGCAGTGACTCAGAAGCAGAAGAAGAAGCTGAAGAAGAGACTGAGGCTGAAGAAGAACAAGAAAATGGTGTGGCATCCTTTGCAGCAGCTCTTCAAGAGCTTTATGGTTCTGATCCCGAATCCTCCAGTGGAAGCTCCTCTCCCTAAGTGTGTCTGTTTGCAACTTTCTGTTTGAGGGTCTTAAGTGCGAGTGTCTCTATTTGGAACAACTTTGGTGGTGATGTTTCTTTCTGAAGTATCGTTGCTGTCTCTGGCTCTGTAGAGCTTGTTTGTTTTGTGTTTTTTGAACCAGTAAAGTATTGGTCTTATTTGCTCAGGGGGAGCTTTTATTATGATTGATGGTTGACTGCTTCTTTTTACAATTATTGATGCTTGATCCTGTGTGCAAGGAATGTTTTATGTTTACAGGGGACCAGCAATCGGCAATCTCTAACTTAGGGGGAGATTGTTGAATTGTGATTCAAGCAAGTCAGAGATTACCGTTGCACAATCTCAGCAGCCTCAAAAGGAAAGAAAATCCTGTCAAGCAAGATTTCCTTATCTGAGTGCAACGGCTAGGAGCCTGCTCTATATATTGACGAGCCTAAATGCTTGAAGATCACTTTTGTGGAAGCTACTGTGGTAAAGGGCATAGCTCTGGAGAACAAAAGGGATTTGACGAAAATTTGAGGAACAGGTTCAACTTTCGTCAAGGCTGAATCAGATCGGGGATTGATCTGGGTTACTCTTCCTCTTGTTTTCTTATCTTTCGTTCTTATTTTTGCGAAATTAGTTTCTTGAATTATTCATTAATAAAAGGTCTCCCAGACCATATTCTGGGACGTGGAAGTAAACCATTGCACTTGGGCGAACCACGTTAAAAATGTCGTGTTGCATTTAGTTTGTCTGCACCTTACCTTCTGCAAATTTCATTACTCTGTTCTTGAAGCCTCTGTTTCTTGCTTCTCTGTTGATGAGCAGAAGAGTTCTGGGAACTCTTGTTTGACAGAACACCAAGTGGGCTTAAAGCCCACATTCCATTGTTAAGTCTTCTGTCCGTTTTTCTCTTTTGTTTAAATAAGCCTGCTGGGCCTTTTAATCGTCTCAGCCCATTGGCTTTGGTGATACAGAAAGACAAATCGAGACCCTTGTGGGAGTTTTCATTTTCGATTTGTCTCTGAAATTGGGAACGTTTCTCTAACCCTAAATTCCCAGAAATCGGTCTCAACTCTGATTTCAACGAGTTATTTGTAAAATTGTTCGAATTGCCCTACAAACTGAACCATTAAAGATTAACTATCAAATTTAGTAAAATTGTTGTGACTTCAATCATAACTTACTCGAGAACTTATATATCCTATACACTTGACCTTACCCTCAATCGACAATATTAAGTTAGTATATGTTGTTGACCGTATACCCTAAACCATCAATACATTATACACTAACCACATACCCTATCAACATACCTTATGAGTTTTGATTTTGCTAGTATAGTTCATATAAAGTGAAATTCATACTTTGAGTGGGTTGCAAGTTCGGCCTTCTTAGGGTTTGAAAACGGCTGCTTATTTGTAGCCTTTGTCGAGTTATGGGGTTTAAAGTCCATGACATTATATTATTTGATGAGCTTTTCAATTTGAATGGGCTCGTTGAGCTAGTAATCAAGCATTTGTCGAGTTCCATTCATGTCGAGCTCGTGTTGGGTAATGTTGGAGTCGAGCTTAGCTTGATTTTGGATGTTGCCAGCTTGTGGCAAATTTGAGCCAAACTCAAGCTTGAGATTTTGATTTCGAGTACGAGGTAAACTAGTCAATAACTATATTGGCCCAGTTCTATCGCTTTTTTATTTATGTTTTAAAAATCTAAGTATGAATTTCAATTTAAATTACCTATACTAGCAAAATCACAATTTATAAGGATATATACTAACTTAATATTGTCGATTGGAGTAAGGTCGAGTGTAAGGTTACAACTAACTTAATCACAACAATTTTACTAAATTTGATAGTTAATCTTTAATGGTTCAATTTTTAGGATAATTTTACAAATAACCATTACTATTAGCTAGTGTACTTTACCAATTACAATTAATTACATAACAAGTTTGCAAGTCATACAAATTGATTCAACATTTTGACTAGTTTATTTTAACTTAAGTATATATACGAGGTAGAAAGAAATTGGTAAAAAATTGAGAAAAATATTTTAAGTTATTGTAATAAAATGTGTAAGTTGGTAATGGGTAAGGAGTAAGTTACTCGATGCGCTGACTCGAACGACCCGCAATCCGATCCGCCCATAACCTGCTCGACACAAAACCCGATGAACCCACAACTCGATTGAACCTGCAACCCGATGAACCCGCACCCGACGAACCTGCAACCCGTTTGAACCCGAACCCGATGAACCTGCAACCCGAATAACCAGCAACCCGACTGAACCCATCCCGAACCCGTCCGATTGACACCTATAATCATCACTGTCATGGACAACTGCGGTAATTATGAAACATGTGTACCTTGAAAATTATTTTTATAACTAATGTATTTTGGGAATTATTTATAGAACTAGTGCATTTTGGGAATTTTTCTTTAAAATTGGATATTACGGTCACTTGGGCACATGTCAAGTGTTGGTGTATCCCAGCCGCAAAAACCTTCCTTATGATTATCTCCTCTCCTCTCAGAGTTTCTTTTCTCGTTCAGTATCTTCCGGGCAAACATCCACCCAACAGGCGATGGTGGGGACGATGGCGGCAACTCTATCCTCTCCGTTCACTCCTCTTACCTCTCTTCTCGGACCCTCTTCCTCCAAGTCCACCAAGCTCCACCTCCAACCCTCCTGCTCCCGTTTCTCATACCGGACCGCTGACCTCAAGTTGCTGTTACACGACGCCTTGGATTCCTTGGGCATCGACACGTCTCACGCCAGGGTAATTGGCCATTAGATTAGATTAGATTGGATTGGATTTGGTCCCTCTCCTCCTGCTCTCCTCTCCTTGATGCACTGTTTTCGCAGGAGGCTAGGCAGGGGTTTTTGTCCCAAATCGAGAAATTCTCCGACATGGAGAGGGAAACCAGCATTAGCATCAATCGGCGCGTTGATTTGGGGAAGACAGCTCTGTATATAGCCGCTGAGGACGATTCTCTCATATCCCACTCCTCGGTTCCCTTGCCTGTGGATGCCTTCATTGAAAGATTGGATGATCTCTCCATGGGTTACTGCTCCACTTATACCTCCTCCTTGTGCTCTTCGCCTCAGAATTTCCTCCACAGCTTAGACAACTATTTGTACGTGGACAAGGTAACCCACTTGCACAAACCTCTCTCCACCGTCTCCTATTCTATCCTATTTGCTGCTGATTGCTCGATTTTCGCTCCCATCCCATCAGGGTTTTAGAAGAAGCAGTTTAATCAATCGGTTCGAGCCAAGGGATTTGTATCTTCACTCTGTAAGAAATGCCTACATGCATGCTTGCTGCCTTGTCTAGTTGAACTTAGCCAGCCAGCCAGCCAGCTTGCTTTAGGAATCAATAAGCATCTTCCTTCTCCGTGCCGTGCCGTGTCGTGTCTTGTTCTAATTTCATTGAGCAGGTTTTGACTCGTCGATCAGGTTCAGCTCTCATGCTGTCACTTATCTACTCTGAAATCCTGAAAATGCTTCGTCTTTGGGGGCTCGTGGATTTTGATTGTGAGATATACTATCCCTATGATTCCAAGGACCTTCCCAGAGGCTATGATAAAAAGAAGAGTAAGGAATCGGATCGGGTGCATATATTGACATCGCAAACTCTTTTGGAAGAGGCCGGTTCTCCTCTCCCTCTCTCTCTCTCTCTCGCCTTTTCTTTATTGTTCTGGATAGAAAGAAGAGCATGTCCTATCTATGGGTTTCTTTATAACTAAACTTTTATTACCTTATCATGTAACTTCAAATTTTATCAGGTTTTTCTGGCAGCTCAAATGTTTCTTCACGTTGCCTTGCCTGGCCTCGTTAAGGCTTATGTGAATGACTGCCAACTATTACTATTTTCATGTTGTCATAGGTATTGAGAAGCTTGAAGGAGGCGTTCTGGCCGTTTCAATATGATGACACCAGGAGCTTATTCTTGAGTGCTGCAAATGCTGCCAATTGCGTCGCTACGCCTAACGCTATTGAAGACAGGTTCTTTCGCTATCTTTGGACTTCTTGTACACTGCACTAGTGTGGTTCTCGATTCTACAAATCCTGCAGCCTTCATCTTGTGTTTATATGGATGTCATGTCTCGATTGTCAACAGTGGCTTTCAGCTAGCATCTGCAAAGGCTGCCCAGCACAGGTTAGATCGTGGAGTTTGGACCAGTGTAACTTTTGGAGACATGAGACGTGCGATGTCTGGTACGTCTCTTGAAACAATTTTTCTATCCATATGGACAAGGCGCTTGTACTCGAGAATCGACATCTTAATTTTCTGGAGGATTTGAGTGCTTTTCTCGACTTAACTAGTGTATGCTTATGTAGGTGTTCTGTTATGAGTTTATCTGTTAGTTTATGGCATAATAATTTTCAACTAAGGGTTGGATTGTTACTGACTGTGATCCAGTTGTGTCGGGCTGTGTTAGTTATAGCAGGCATAGCGAGAGTTAAGGAACCTGGCCTTTGTCTATTTCAATTCCTTTAGATTCAGAACCGACTATGTACGAGCCTTGTTATTCAAATACTCATTTCATCTATCATTCTGATTCTGCTCCATTGAAAAGGACGATGGATGGCTACAAAATCTACCTAGTTCAAATTATGAGGATGTTAAAATGTGAAAAAAATGAAATTTCTTGTATTCCTAGTCTCATAAGGGAGTTTATGTGGTTTGCAGCTTGTGAACGTCTAGTGCTCTTGGGATCTGATCCCAAAGATCTAAGAGATTATAGCATTCTTCTGTATCATTGTGGGTTCTATGATCACTCCCTTCAATATCTCACGTTGTTCGAGGAAATAAAGGTATAAATCAATCTTTATATGGATGGAGCAAGCTGCCTGGGCCAAATATCTATCAAAATTGTGATCAGAGTGGACTTGTTGAGCTGTCTCAGGGATCAGTGCAACAAAACCAATCATCCACTGGCATGAGCAGATTGGAAGATGATGCTACGGAGAAGTTGATGATGCGTCTTAACCTGATCTTCATGGAAGAAGGCTGGAGCGAGCCTTCACGTGTCAGGAAATTTCTGGGAAACAATTCTGAACCGTGGTAGCTAGTAAAGACTTGCAGCCACGGATATTGACAAATAAAAAGTAAACACTTTGAGCAGTAACAATGAAAAAAAGGTGGATTAGAGGGCATGCGCAAAACACGACAGAAGGGGTGCTATGCTCTGCTCTGCTCTGAGAAATCCTTGGTGATTGCTTGCTTTTGAGATTGCTAGCAACTCCGCGCCCTGCATGTGGAAGTCAGTCATCTCTTCGATGAAAGCTCTTCCTTGATAGGAAACTGCCCCCATTTGAACTAGGGGTCGTTAGTTATATTGATGTATTATAGTATACCTGGTTTGATTTCTGTGATAGTTATTGTATTATTTAAATATGTTATATTATTTTTAGGCTCAAATGTCACTTTTATCCTTTCATCTTAATATAAAAACGCTTATCTCAGTTGGTAATGATTCATTGACAATCATGGGCTACATAAATCTGAAACTTCTGTTGTTGATAGCAAGGCAAATTATAAATCAGATTGCAACTGCCCTCATTCACGGGAAAGAAGTAAGTTTTTTTTTTTGCCAAAGGTATCCCACCGAAGACAGGAAGATACGAAATATAAGTACAAAACTTTTGCAGGTTAAATCACCAAAGATAAATAAGGAAGAAACGTCGGAAAATTCAATGATAAGAGGGCTTTTTTTGCCACGATATGGGCAGCCCTAATATACCTACGCATTAACCGAGTCCATGTATGTTCTTCAATCCTTTTTAGGATGGAAGTGATGGACCAAACTCCTGTTACTGTCAAGTGACCGCCATGCATCAAATCTCTGCAAATCTAACAACAAAGTATGCACGGAGGAAAAAAAAACACAATAGATATTAAATCACTAAGGATAAGAATTCAGTATAGCCCACAGCCCCACACAGACATTGAGAGCCGCCCACCTATAAAAAAGAGGAAACGGACTACCCCGAAAGGAGGCCAAACAACCAAATGAAATAACAAGAGAATAAGCACCTGAAAGTTGCTGCTCAAACAGTCAAACTTAAGAAATGGTCAAAAAGCATACCCCAAATTTTTTTTTAACTGTCAAAAAAAAATTTGATCATTAAATTTATAGTTGGGTCCACCACTCCACCTAGTTAGCAAAGCCAAAAAAATTGGTACTTAAAAAACGCATAAAAAACAATGAAGTTTAAAATCATTAGCAGATAACACAAACAATTGGGCAACGACCATATAAGCAGCAACACTAATAATCAAAAGATTGTTTTTTAGAGTGAATATATAAGAATCAAAAGATCAACAAAAAAAATATATATATATATATATATAAACACCCTTACCAACACCACCAAAGCAAGCTAGGAAAAAATAAAGGCAAAATAGGCAAGAAACGATACCACCTCATATTTCCATTTAAAGCACGAAAAATCAAGCAAACCCAATCTAAAGAGCACATAAAATAATAATAACAAAATCTAGACCCAATCAATTAATTTACACATCAAATAATGCTTAGGTGTAGCCTAAGCTGATAGTAGCTGTAACAAAATATTTGATTAATGTAGATAAGGATAATCTCAAGCCAGCAAATAAAATAATACAAAAGAAAAAATTAAGGACAAGAGGGATGGCAATGGGTCGGGTTGGGTCGGTTTTGTCAAACCCAAACTCATGGGTTTATCTTTGAAAAAAACCCGGGGTAAAACTCACTGGGTTTGAAAAACTCAAACCCAACCCAACCCGCTGGGTATCCGCGGGTTCATGGGTACCCACGGGTTTTGTCGTAAAAAATTTACAATTACAAGTTCTTATCAAAATTAAAGTCAAATATCAATCTCTCACTACAAATTATCCATACATAAAACACCATTCTAGAAAATTCAAGCAAATCACAAATTAACTATACAAATTGTTCAACACCAATCTAGAAAACTCAAGAAAATTGAAGCAAATCACAAATTATCTATAAATAACATGTTTAATTGAAAGCTTCTTCCTTTCAATTAAGTTTCTGTAAGAATTCAGTTTATTGAATTGAGATGAAATGAACATCTAAGCTACTGATTTATACAGAGTAGTGTGCTGCTATCATTGGGAAAGAAGTATAAAAGAAAGCTATCGACTATTAATGGAATGTGGGTGAACATTATCCCACATTATCTCATATTATCTAGACTTGAATGCTAACTGTTGGGATAGCAGTGAGCTGTCTGCTCACATGGTTTCTGTGATCTCCAATACTCCCCCTCAAGTTGGCGCGTGAAGGTCACGAACGGCTAGCTTGCGAAGAAGGTAGTGAAATCGATCTGATCCAAGACCTTTAGTGAAAAGGTCAGCAACTTGATCATGAGTTCTGACTTTAAGTGGGCAAATGTTGTGACTTTGGACGCGTTCTCGGACAAAATGACAATCCATTTCAACATGTTTGGTGCGTTCATGGAAAACAGGATTGTTGGCGATGTGAAGGGCAGCTTGATTATCACAGTGGAGCTGTGTGGGACTTGAAAAATTGATCCCAAGGTCCCGAAGAAGAGCCCGTAGCCAAAGGATCTCACTAACCGTCGTAGCCATGGCACGGTATTCTACTTCAGCTGAGGAACGAGAGACCACCTTTTGCTTTTTGGATCTCCAAGAAATGGCAGCTTGACCAAGGTAGATGATGTAGCCACTTGTGGAGCGGCGAGTAAGTGGGCAACCACCCCAATCAGCATCACAATAAGCTTGTAGAGTGAGGGGATTAGAGGATGGGAAAAACAAACCCTGGCCTGGGGACCGTTTGAGATAACGCAGGACCCTGTGGGCTGCCGTGATGTGTTCCTGTTTAGGATCTCCAACAAATTGACACAAGAAGTTGACGGCATACTGAATGTCTGGTCTGGTGACTGTCAAATAAAGTAGGCGACCGATAAGACGACGATAGGGTTCAGGATCATCGCACGAAGTGTCTGCCAATGCCAACTTATGATTTTGTTCTATCGGGAAGGCACTAGGACGACTGTTAGTCAGTCCACTATCTGCGAGGATGTCGAGAGTGTATTTGCGTTGACTGAGGACGATTCCGCTGGATGAACGAGCAACTTCAATTCCAAGAAAATACTTCAGTGGGCCTAGGTCTTTGATGCTGAACTCGGTATTGAGGCATGACTTGACGTGAGAAATGAAGGTGGGATCATCTCCTGTTAAGATGACATCGTCAACATAAAGTAAAACAAAGACCGTAGATGTACCCTTGGTGGCAATGAAAAGGGAGTAATCGGCATGGGATTGCCGGAAGCCAAGACGCAAGAGAACCGAAGTGAACTTGGCATGCCAGTTACGAGAAGCTTGACGAAGGCCGTATATGGAACGACGAAGCTTGCAAACCCTTGAGTCTCCGGGGAGACGAAATCCCTCGGGTACCTTCATGTAGACTTCTTCATCAAGGTCACCATGGAGAAATGCGTTGTTAACGTCAAGCTGATGTAGGGGCCATTGGCGGGATGCAGCAACTGCGATGAGACAACGTACTGTGACGAGCTTTGCTACGGGGGCAAATGTTTCATGAAAATCGATGCCAGGAATCTGTGTGAAGCCTTTAGCTACCAGTCGCGCCTTGTAGCGTTCAACCTCACCATTCGGTTTAAACTTGACTTTGTACACCCATTTGGAGTCTATGGCACGTTTTCCAGGTGGAAGTGTTGTGAGCACCCAAGTGTGATTTGCTTCCAAAGCAGCGATTTCTTTTTGCATAGCCGCTCGCCAATCAGAATGTCTTGCTGCCTGTTTGTATGTCTTAGGCTCATCCACAGTGGAGATGGCCGACAGGTAAGCAATATGATGTGAAGAAAGGCGGTCATAAGATACATAGTTTGCTATAGGATATACCTCAGAAGAAGTGATTGGCGGAGTTGACTCATTGACAACAAGCGACGGTGGGAGAGACGTGTCAAAGCCTTGCAGAGCAGTAGTTTGGCGGCGTTGGCGATCACTGCGACGTGGAGGGGCATCAGAAGATGGAGTGGCACCAGACGATGTAGTGGCAGAAGTGTCTACAATGTTTGTGACGGTTGCTTCTGTAGGCTGGAAATTTCTGGGTGAAGGCATGTCTACTGGTGGAGGCAGCTCGATTGGTGTTTCGAGTGGTTCGTATGGATGTGAAATGTCAGGTGAATTGGTTGGGCCAAGGGGCCAATAGAGTGGTGTTGCTTTTGGTGGATTGGGATTTGGTGTTTCCTGGAATGGAAACATTTCTTCTTGAAAAATTACATCGCGTGAGATGACTATCTTCCGTTGCTCAAGTAAGTAAATCTTGTAGCCCTTTTCTCCATGAGGATAACCCAAGAAAATACCTTTGCTCCCCCTTTCATCGAACTTGTCTTTTCCCCGATGATTGTCATGAGCATATGCCAAGCAACCAAATACTTTCATATGGTCATAAGAGGGTGAATGGCCAAGAAGTACCTCATAAGGTGTAAGATTATTGAGTACTGTGGTGGGAATCCGATTGATGATATATGCAGCCGTAAGTATGCATTCTCCCCAGAACCGGATAGGGAGGCTAGATTGAAAACGAAGTGCACGGGCTACTTCGAGAATATGACGATGTTTGCGCTCCACCACTCCATTTTGTTGTGGCGTGTCGGTGCACGAGCTCTCCAAAAGGATCCCCTCTGCCGCATAGTAATCTCGAATCGTTTGTGATTTGAATTCTAAGCCATTGTCGGAGCGAACCCGTTTGACAGCTACTCCAAATTGATTTTTGACCATGTTGCAAAATGAGGGTAATAATTGGCCCACTTCCGACTTATGCTTCATGAGATAAATCCAAACACCACGGCTAAAATCATCAACGATGGTGAGAAAATAATGAGCCCCGGATAAGCTGGAGGTCTTGTAATCTCCCCGTATGTCACAATGGATTAACTCAAAGCAACGCGTGGTTTTTATTGTGCTTAATGGAAAAGGTAATCGGGTCTGCTTGGCTCGCACACACGCCTCACAGTGACCGAGCTTATTTGAGAAATCCAACTTGGAAGTAGTCGATAAATTGTGGAGCTTGCCTGAGGAAGCATGTCCCAACCGCCGATACCATAAAGCCACACAATCCGTCTTCGTGGTTGCCATGGCGACCCGCTCTTTTGACACGTCTTCCCACACGTACAAGCCATCAGTGAGCTTACTCACTCCAATCAACTTCTTCGTTGATAAGTCCTGTGCCACAGCAAAATCCGAGAAAAAAGTTACGGCGCAATTATGATCTTTAGTGAGCCGACTAACAGAAATTAAATTGCACTTGAATTGAGGAGCATTTAGAACTCCTTGTAATTTAAGTCCGTTGTTGAAGCAAATGTCACCGATGCCAACAATCGGGACTTTCGAGCCATTTGCGACCTTCACAAATGTTGCTGGTGAATTCTTTTTCGTTCCTTGCAAAGAATGCTCATCAAAAGTAATGTGATCTGTGGATGCAGAGCCTAGAGCCCAGGCTA